GTTCCTTTGCAATGCAAACATTTAAGGAACTACATTTTTATTCGTTGTTACTTCTCATCAAGGTTTTATAATCAGACTTCTAATAAATATTTTCCTCGTCACTTCAATCTTTCTGTTAAAATTTAAGCAATTTTATTGGATCATGGGCCATATTAAATTAATAACTGTCACTATCAGCGGGACATTCCCCTGTATTCAAGCCTTTTTTCTATATTCGTGATATTTAAAACCTATGAATTTAGTTTAACAAAAATTATAGATGATTTAAAAATGAGCAGTATTTTATGAAATTTATTTTTATTACAGGGACACGATTCAGAACAATTATATACATGTATCTGAGCTATGCAATCCAAATTTCACCCTCTCCCAAACACTAGCTCATAAATCCGAGTCTATCTTGATGTCATGTTAAGGTACATGTACATAGATGTTGGAGAATCTTAATCGCGTATTTCTGTAAACTCAACAACACAGCAGACAACCTGTTGTTATAAAAAGAAACAGTTTCCATGTCAAGGTCCGAGAAAATAGATCATTTAGATACCATTATCGATTGCCTTCCATCAATTTAACATTGGTTTCTATCGATACATCATTTCGCCCGCAGTATGTTAACCAAAAAAAACGAGCAAGAGCTTCGTAGAAGAGGTAGAAAAGATATCCCTTCCTACGTAATTCTGAAAACTGCGGAAATGATACCAAGATATTGTACAGGGACCACAAAAAGAAAGAAAATCTTGATTTATTGTTCACGACTCAACGATACGTGATACCAAGTGCTGCTTAACCCTTTTATTTCCATTCAAGTGCATTCTGTTTTGAAATAACTTCTGATCAATCGTTTCGATTAATTGGTCAATTATCGACTGTTATAAATACCAATAGCCTTTTGAAAGACACAGTTTTGCAGCACACAAGCAATTTTGTACAATTATGTTCCTTATCGATCAGTGTCTGAAAACTTTATATTTAGGACGATTTTAAAGAAAATATCAATTTTCCGTCATACTTACATATATTACTGCACATTTATTATTTTCTAGCACAATAAGTCTAACCTTAATAAACGTGCCTACCATATCAGCTTATGTATAACGTTTCTTTATTTTTTTCTTTAAAATTGCTCTGATAACTTCCAAACAAGAAGAGCAAGATGGATCTATCAGTATTTACACTGCAAGAACAATGCTGATAATTCTTTTTGAATATCCCATTAACGTACAGCACTGCTGTATTGTACAGATTTGTGCTTGATATAGCTAATAAATATCTGGAAAGAATTGAACTTGACATATATTAAAGTTTATGTAACCAGATCTAGGATCTGATACTTTTGAACTAGCTTTTCTTAATTACTAAACCCTATGATTCTCATTTCAGAATTGGCATCGTGTCAGTTTGCTAATAAATGCATAGTAACGCTTTAGTAATAGATAAGCATTCTCTGTTAAACATTTTTTTTTATTAATTTCTACAAAGTGTAGTAGAAGGTAGTTTTCACCTGTACTATTTTATATTTATGTGATTTGCTGTTCGTTGTAAAAGATACCCCATCCCAAAAAAACACCTCTCAGATAAACCAACTTATTTTTTCAAAAATACAATCTTTAATGTAGTTTTTATGGGAATAAAATCATGCTCGTAGTCGCGAGTTGCGGAGACCAACAAAGTAATTATTAAGTCCTATTTCCATTTAATTAAAGTTTTATGTTAAAGTTTTATTTCTCAAAATATATTTCAAATATATTGTTCTCTATGTGTTTCAAACATTTAATGGCTGGTACACGTGCTCATTTATGGTGTTTACATTAACAAAACGATATTGCTAAGAATTTCTAAATTTAATTTTAACGTCTCCTTTATTCAAAGCATTTTCTCATCTATCGTACATTTACTTTAAAAGATCAAAAAGTTTTAATGCAAAAGATATTTACTGATAATTTGTTTTTTTTTTCGTAGTTATAGTTCGTAGTTATAGTATTTTGATAATCATGGTCAAGTATTTAACCCTCCTTTCCTCATATCTCTTTTTTGTGGTTTGTTATGTAATATTTTGTTTTTCGTTTTTTATTTTTGTTTATTTTTGTTTTGGTCATTTCAAGCTCAAAATATGTACAGGAATGTCTGGAACACCCGCGTTGGAAGTAGCAAAAATTACCAAAGAAGTGACGAATTCTACATCTCTAGAAATCCCTGAAGTCGCAAGGTTTTATTACAGAGAACAGGAAGGGTTGAATTTTAACACCTCGGTCATAAAACCGCAAGTACCAGTCACCAAAAGAGATTGACCATTCTAAAGAAACACTGTCTCCAACGAAGTCTTTAAGATGTTCTTTCATTACTTGTTGCTTAAAATCACGAGAAGTCAGCACAAATAAGTAGTGCAAAAATATAATTCCGTACACTAGAATGACAAGGAGGGAGAAAGAGAAGAATCTTTGTTGGAAACGTATCATGCCTTGCTTTGATTTTGTGCATTTTTCACCTACATCACTTCAAACGAAGTTTTTATTCAATTACTTTTGCTATCATGTTTTATGTATTTTGTTGGATGACGACAAACCTTGTTTGACACGTTGGTTGATGTTAATCTGCTATTTGCTACAAAGTGTTACACACCTGCTTAAAATTAACTGACAATAAAACAAATAGAGATTCGTAGCGCGTCTTTAAGCTGTCGAAAAATGATAAATTACAATTCAGAAAAACTGTCACAATTCCCACTTTCGTTTCAACACGCATCTGATCTTGTTCATCTGGGAGATAATTACGAACGCACTGAAATCTAAGCATCTTTTGTTTAATTTGGATAACATGCAAAAAATTATCAATATTGATATTTTTTGCTAATCATTCACCCCAAGAGACATGATAGACTGTAATAATGCGGCACAAGTCTAGTGTAGGCCATAAAAATTATAAATTTTGTAAACTGTGTTCAATCGATTTTGTTATATTTTAAAACTTTGTTGCTTAAGCATTTAATATGCCTAGATAATCAAATAAAATAAAAAAGGGTTTTTTATCGATACAGTCTGTACAAAAAAGGAGCAAAATTGAATTCTGCTTAAGTCATTATTCAGTGCATCGAAATACATTTACAATTTTACGTAGAACTTTGGTAAAAAAAAAAAATAATAAATAAAGAAGAAAGAAATGCTAAACGGCAATTTTGGACAAAGCTTGATATCACGGGGAAAAAAATTATCAGTTATTCACATAAATTAAAATAAAAACATTCATGCCACACAAAACAAATACGTGGAAAGATAGAATAAAATTATTCTATAGATAATTTTAAATAATGGAATACGAAAGTAAGTTTCAGAATCAATCCAATTTTAGGATTGCTTAAAACAGCGTTTTAAAGATATGACTTTATGCAATATTTCATTTAAAAAATTTCAATGTTTTAATAGACCATCGAAATTTTTCTGGATCCACATGGTTACAAATTCTGTATATATTGTAAATATGTTCAAAAATATAAATTCCGTAGTTTAAAAAGTATTTTCGTTTCAAAACCATTTCAAAGGCATACATAAAATGTGTATTTGATTCTTTGTTTCAAAATTGATTATTTATCTATTATTTTTGCTATTTTCTAAATAGTAATTGATAGTATATAGTTCAACCAAGTTATCTTCAGAATCGATGAAAAGAAACTAGAAATATCGTTGTTGGTGTTTTTTTCTTTTCAAATATTTTCGATAAATGTTTTCAATTTAAAAAACATTACAGAATTAAATGACAAATTTGATTTCTTATTTATTTCTTCAAATGTTTGTATTTCGTATTAAGTTTCTGACCGTATCCATTTACACATATATACGTTTTCGGGTCATAACAAAAGATCAAATGAAACATCTTAACCCAATCCCCTTCTGGAGAGTGTCCCCTGAATGCAGTACGACCCCTCGGGGCTTCTGTCTCAGCCAGGGATAGAAGTATCTCATTTATTTTTCATTACTATATGGCGTTCGGAGCGTGTGTTTGGATGGCACAACAAGGTTTTAAAATCAATGTCCTCGCTATCAAAATAAAAAGGCCCGGCCAACTGGACCACTGACTTATTTCTGAATGGCGAGAAAAAATGACGGTAAAGGTGAATGATTAAACAACGTAACCACATTAAAGTAGAACTTTATGTTGTCTACAATTTTACTCTGAATGACCATCGTTTGTGTGTTTATCTGTGTGTTTTCTTATCTTCAAAGACAGTTTCAGAAATGTTAGATAGGATAGATATTATATTACCCTACTCCTATGTCTATTTTCAAAATTCTCTAATAACATTCTAGTTTTTATCTATTCTACGTCAAGACCTTGTACAAAAAATGACAATATATATTGTAAAAAAAAAATGTCATACACCAAAGATACTTTAAATTAAATATATTTCACAAATCAGTCTTTCTCGTTGGTATATAAAAATCACGACAAATTTCCTATTATGAGTATGGCAATAACAAAATATCCGCAGTGTATCTAATCACATTTTCACTTAGTCCACACTATAAAAAATTCAACAAATGATTTTTTTTCACATACATGTAAATCGTGTCCACTTTGATTTCATTATCAAAAACTTTAAAAGCAAAACGTTTTTGTTGTATCTGGAACATAACCTCCAAACTAAAGCATCAATTTTCAAGCCTATCATTTAAACAAATAATTGCAAGAGACACTTATAATCACTTTTAAACTCTTCCCTTGACTAAAGACCCTCCCCTTAAACATGCAAATTAAACCAGGCTCTTAATGATCTTTTAATGTGTATTTTATTATCATCGTCAAAAAACCTGCAGCCCAAATGAGCATACGAGTGACTTAATTCAATATTTTAGTGTTTAAAAATTATCCGACAATATTATATGATCATAAACCGTTAGATTTATTGTTTTATGAGCGCTTAGATGAGGCTTCAATTGGTTGTTTTCCTTAATTACATGATGTTATAGACCGTTATAGATCTTGATATACAGAAAATGTATTACCTTTCGTCTGGCGGTGATAAACGAGGCCTCTCTTCGTCTTGCGCAGAAACCCATAAACTAGGGCCCGGTAAACTCATAAAATACCAGCCTGTCATTTTCAATATGGGGTCACGTGACCTTGATTTGAATGTGTAAGGAGAAGAGGCAGTTATATTCACTTTCTGATAGGTCAGACTGTGATTAGACAAAATAGCAGGAATAATGAAGACGAAATACGGAATCTGCACTTCAATTTTTTTTTTATAACCCTGCTGAAAAGAAGATAAATCTTTAATGAACAAAATATTTCGAAATGATTAATATATATGGATAAATAAACTTTGTTGTCATTTTTTCCAGTGCACAAAAGAAATATATTAATTTAAATATTAATTGTCAAAAATACGTAATTGAATTTATTATTTAATTTTTATTACAAGCTATTTGTTGACTATTTTATGATCAATTATGTTTAATCTAGTGTCACACGCATCCCTGAATATTTTTTAAATTTCGTTAACAAAATATGAAAAAAAAAAATTATTTGTATCGATTGATCTTTCAATGCCATAATTACATTTTACTGAAAAAATAATAAGTGAAAAATATTAATTGCATACATACATATATTTTTAATGCAAATGCGATGTATGTACAGATGTTCAGCAGAATTGAGTAATAAAAATTAATTATTTACACGAATGTATTTAAAAAAAATAAAATAATTTTTTATTGACCATAATAGAATTAGATTTATCTGATTCTTTTTAGGAGAAACTTAACGTTTAGTTATTAATTAACATGAAACATTTAATAAAAGAATAGAACATAACGCAATCGCCACTGGCATTCCACAATTCATCACCGAGTTGAAGTTGGATTGAGAAACATCTCATTTTCCGAACAAACAAAGGATTTGTGCTTATAAACACAGAGCTGATTAATGGCTTTATCGTTACAGATTATTTCAAACATGAATTCTAAAATTGTTATCTTCAAATTAAAATAACATATATATAGGTAAAGTTAATGATAGCATAAACAAAAGATGAATTTGTTCACAAAATTAGGGATTTTATTTAAATTTCATTTTTGATTCCACGTGTGAAAACTCTGATCAAGAAATTAGTTCTATTGTTTATATTTTAGCAATACCGTCTGTATAATTTTATTTTCCTGTAAAAATGTGGTAGAGCAATTCTGCACCTTTAATAATCCTTCATAATCAAAATGACTAAACTAACAATTTAAATTTTATTTTTAGAAAAACGATGTACTTTGGAATAAAAGTATTATTTATATATATTTTTTTTACAAATCATTTTTATTTGATTAGGATGATAATAATGTGATTTTATGCCTCCTATGAGATTTGCCAAATAAAAAAATAATCAAACACAGGTATGCAATTTTGTCTATTCTGTCATTTAATTGAATGATATAAAGTAAAATTTTTAACAAACCAAGAGGTGGAGTCACCTTATAAACAATCCTGGATAAAACGAGTACATGGGTGAAAGGTGCAAGTGTGCTCCCCCCTCCCCTTGAGACTGTTTAGAAAATTACACACAGTGAAGATATCAGAGTAGATGTACATTTGCATAAAATAATGCATAAATGAGTTAATTCTTGGAGGTGTTCAAACAATTGCCCAAATCCAAGAAACTAATGAAAAGGTATTTGAAAAATACAATTTTTGACCTGGATGCAAAATAATATGAAATCGAACCAATAAAAGGGGTTTTTATTTTTTCACTGCACTTAACAGGCTACAAAAATGTTGCGACAAAAACAAAGGTGGTGTTTAAAAAATCCGTAACTATCCGACGGTGTAAAATTTACCAGATTTCTCATAGCGGCATAAATTGAATATCTGTGATAATATTTGATTTACTTCAATCAGAGCTTCCATAAATAACTCTTTCAATGCAAATATAAATATCAGAAGTTTTATAACCCCTCATTAATTTAATACAGAAATACTAAAATACAATTTAAAACAACAAAAATGCAGCTCATTCATGTATTGAAAATCATGTTTATGGGGTTTTCTATTTACAATTCTGAAATTTAAATTATAATGAAAACTCATTCATTTCAGTAAATCTAGAAAAGAATAAAAATGTACTACTATTTCTTCATGCTCTAGTTCTATCAACATTACGTATACGTCATAGAGGAATAAATTTGGTCCGAATACCGATAATCCGCGTTTATGATTAATGACGAATATCAACAATATCTAAACCTTGTGGCACTTGTTATGCAAAATTTTAAAAATTCTTCCGCGGTAATGAGAGCGCTATACGCGTTGTCGATCTGGTTTCTTCTGACTCCAGATAAAGACAGTCTTGTAGCTCCATACATTGGTGATTTGGCTTGAACTGGAGTAATTAATGTGAATTTTGGACCAACTACGCTATCAGTTTCTGAATTAAATTATTCAGATCAAAATAAGAACAGGCCGCTGTGATTGTATGCAGATCACCCGCATAGATACAGAGAAATCTAGACATCTTCTTCAAGCTTAATCCCAGTCATATACAAGGTTAAGATGTGTTTTCTTACCACACAACAACATTTTAGAACATTTAAGGCGAACAAGGACTTTTTCGTTTTTGTCAAGATCGATTATGTTCACATTTCAGACAAATTTATAGCGTATACCGCATTATTGTTTTACTTATCTAAGTCATATTTAATAACACATTTTATCGAACTCAATTCAGTCTAAAATTTTAGCGACAATTTTCTTCAATGTACTGTTTTAGCCATTGATTAATGAAAAAATGATGAAAATATTTATTATGATCAATATCTTAATATTTTTTTTAAATTTATTGAATTAAGTGTTGAAATGAGGAATAAAGAAGAGGCATCACAAATTTAAAATAGCACTTGTGATTCATTTGTACCGGTATTTAACTTCAAAAGTCTGTTTCTGCAGCGAAAGTCTTAATTTTTGATAAACAATATTCTGGAGTCAAAGAATAATACTTTTTTTAAATACTAGTATCTTATACCTTTTACTCAGCAAATTATATTTTTGGGTAGAATAATTTATCAACTTGTAGCAATATGAGTAGATTCTCGAATTTATGATTACAATTGTTATGTTTCGAAATTAATAAAATGAAAAAGAAAAATAAATCAAGTACCCGGACCATTGAGCCTTTATATGACTTTGAACACACAAAATTCATTCATTTATTCTCTCAAAAACCATCTGTATGGTACAAGAGGTACATGGAAAAAGAAATGAGAAAAGGAGCATAACACAAACAGATACAGGACAAAAAATGAAAAATGTGTATAAAATAAAATACATTATACATATGTAATTGTACACCCTGTGTACTAAGTTGAACAGATTCTATAAGATATTGGAGAATGTATATGTCTATAAATATTCAGCACTGACATACGATTTACATTCTTTTCTTTTGAAATAACTGTCCATGGACAAACGAAGAATAGAAACTTCCCAATCTGGCTTCAAGACCAGAAATTGTAAGCATACTGTACTTTTTGATATTGAATATCTTTAGTTTATTTAACAGGTGTACATAATTATTTGCAGGTTTTGTACAATAAAATTCATAAAATGGCGAACATTTTGATTCCTTAATAAAATTATTTCAACAATTTATTGATTTGAGTGTTTGACTTCATTCTGTGGTCAATTTCTGGTGTTGTGGCCTGTAGGCAAAGATAATTTGTACTTAGCATACAAAGTACATCCTCATCTATCTATGCCTACATAATGTACAAGTGGTTACATAACATTAAAATATAGAAAACTCTTCAAGATATTTCATTGCGAGATCTTTATAATCAAAGCTAATATGAACGTACGCTTGTGAACTTCGGAAAAAACAAGATTCCAATTCAGAATTTATCTTGCCTCATATTTTCATTTACTGGGTTCCTATGTCTTGTGAGAGTTGTAGTCCTTTGATCACAATTCAGATTTTCTCACTTAGAATTTGTAGCAAATGCATGGTATCCATACAAAAATAATACACAAGTAAAACATTCAAACATCATTTAAGACAAACTATGATACGTGTAACTATAACAGGTAACTATAATTGGTAACAATAATAGGTAATGGGTAACTTTAATAAGTAACAATAAAAGGAAACTATAGCTATAAAAATAACTATAAGGGGTATTAAAATAGAAAACTATAATAGGTTACTGTTATAGGTAACTATACATATTTTGTATCATAGGTAACAACATGCTGAGCAGGGTACTTCTTTATTACATTTCTTGACCTATTACCCCCCAAAAAGTAAACTTTTGAAAAAAAAGCTTCTTAACATTTACCAGCATTTGGTGCAATAATATGAATTCATGAAACGTCCCGCAATTGGTTTTCAACACGCTTTAAAGTCAAAGTTTCTATTTGCCTGAAGACTTTTCCTTGAAGTCAACATCATAACATGGACTGTGTTGTTTTTCCAAAGAAGACTTCATGGCATCCAAACAAAATTTACAGTGTTTCCATTTGTCTTGATTTTGTATATGAAGCTGGCTGACACATAATGAACATCTTTTCCAACTGAATCATTTCTGGATAGTGTCTATATAGTCACTGCTATATGTATGTTGTACCAGCACCAAAGAGGTATATAATACTTGCCTCTTCGAGCCCGAGACACCCAAAGTATATTTTTTAATTCTTCACACGTTTGAGGTATATATGAAAAAGGTGGAGATAACAAACTGATCAATCTTTAAAATTCCACTGTGAACAGGTCAAGAAGAACGGACCTCATGATATTCCAGAGATGGGATTAGGTGACAAGGAGGAAAAAGCATACCCTTCCAACCTACCACATCCGCCATTAACCGAAATTTCTTTGTATTGCTCTGCAAGATGTAACTTTACGCTGTCAAATTTAGTACTAAAACAAATTTTACAATTGATATTAAGAATGTTCACTAAAATACGATCAACGATATGTTATATAAATTTTGCTTACAAGCTCACTGCTATAAAATCCTAGCAAACAGTGCATGAAAGTTTATGCAGATAAATGTTGGTTAATATATACAGAGTAAATGTGTCTTTCCTACGACATGACTTGCTAATTTTGAAATAGGCTTGGATGACTGTTTTCCGACGGAATGATAAAAATGAATTTAATTACTTAATAGCTCTAAAGATCTATGGCCACCGATTCTTCAATTTCAATGAAGTAGAATGCTCAATTTCACGTTATTACAAAGCCGTAACTAGGCTCAAAT